TAGTTCCTGAATATGTTTATTTTCTTTTTTCTTCTTTTGTGATGAGAATGAAATTATTTTACCTCTCATTACAGCTTTACCTGCCTCCCAGAGAATAGATGCTGATGTTCCAGGCACGTCATTGTACTCCAGATATGAAGCCCACTCTTCTGTAAAATATTTGATAAAATCTACATCTTCAAGCAGTGATGTATTAAATCTCCAGTTTATACTTTTGGGGGTTTCTTTTCTGTTTGCTAGATTTAAACAGACAGGAGCATGATCACTGACAGCTATAGGGTGAATCTCAGTGTCTGAGATGTCCGACGGGGTAATTTTATTGACGTGGGAGTGTGATGTCATGAATGACAGACACTTAAACTGAAGATAGAGTGGAACCAAGGAGCTGTCAGTGGTGAAGGAAAAACTGTTGACTTTGGATAGGGTGGATATGTGCCAATGAGTAGAAACTCTGTTTTGTCACCATTACATTTAAGGAAGTTTGATGTGAGCCAGTTTTAAATTTCACCTAAGCAGGAAGTGGGGGAGGACAGTGGAAGTGAAGAATTTGATGAGGTGGACAAAAAGAGCAGGATGTCATCAGCAAAGCAGTGGAAATAAATATAAAATTTATGGAAAATGTTGCCAAGTGGAAGGTAGGTGATGAAAAGAAGGGGCCCCAGAACAGAGCCTTGGGGCACACCAGATATCGACAGGGGTGGAGTGGGATCTGAATGACTAAGTGTGGCCAGAGAGGTATGAGTGAAACCAAGTGAGGGGTGTGTGGGTGATGCCAACAGGTGATAAGTCTATAAAGGAGGATGTGGGAGATGGTATCAAAAGCCACACTCCGATCAAGGAGGACGAGGAGGGAAAGTAAACCAGAATCTGCTGCCGCGAGAACGACATTAGTGATTCTCAGGAGAGCAGATTCTGTATGACTGGGTGGAAACCAGAATGGAATTGTTCATAAACACCATCCATCCATCCATCCATTTTCTTTACCCGTTTATTCCATTTTGGGTCACGGGGGTCGCTGGTGCCCATGTCCAGCAATCACTGTGCGAGGGGCGGGGTACACCCTGGACAGGTCGCAAGTCCATCACAGGGACACATAGAGACAAACGAGACAACCAACCATTCACTCTCTCACTCACACCTAGGGACAATTTAGAGTTACCAATCAGCCTAACATGCATGTTTTTGGACTGTGGGAGGAAACCGGAGTACCCGGAGAAAACCCACGCATGCACGGAGAGAACATGCAAACTCCACCCAGAAAGGCCCCCGGACCGGGGTTTGAACCAAGGACCTGCTCGCTGAGAGGCAGCAGCTCTACCAGTTGCGCCACCGTGCTGCCCGGAATTGTTCATAAACACATGAGTATAAATAAATAAAAATGACTGAACAACAATGTCGCTTTTAAAAGTCCGCCCGTCCATCGTCTTTACCTGCTTCTTACTTTTTGGGTCACTGGTGCCCATGTCCAGGAGTCACTGTGCAAGAGGCGGGGGACACCTGGACAGGTTTCCAGTCCATCACAGGGACACATAGAGACAAACAGCTGTTCACTCTCTCACTCACTCACACCTAGGAACAATTTAGAGTTACCAATCAGTGTAACATGCATGTTTTTGGTCTGTGGGAGGAAACTGGAGTACCCGGAGAAAACCTGCATGCACAGAGAGAACATGCAAACTCCACCCAGAAAGGCCAGCCGGGATTTGTTCCGGCGACCTTCTCTCTGAGGCAACAGCTCTACCAACTGAGCCACCGTGCTGCCCAGAGCTTTTAAAAGTCAGTAACACTAATTTAATAAGACTCCCATGCTGCTGTGCTTGAGAATAACGGGATAATTCACATTTTCCTCTGACTTTAACTGGTCTGAGCCGACAAAATAAAGAAGCTCATTGTGGTCACTATGGTAACCACATACCCGTGTCCGTCACTTCCTGACAGCACTCTTCACAAGACAGGCAGAAAAAAAATCATTTGGAACGCAAGTGGCATAAGTTTACATGTTAATGACATCACATCAAGTTAAACGTTCTTCAAAAGTTGTAAAAGAGTAAACTCCATTAAATATATATTAAAATATTGGGGTTTGTCATGTGAACACAACTTTCTGTGACTTTGATGTTTCTGTAGAATAAAGAGCTCCAAACATGGCTGACTTTACTCATCTGTTTCTCCTAAACCCACTTGCTGGTTACAGAGATTTTTATTTATTTATTTTGCAAATTTCTTCTACACTGTAGAAAATACAGCACTTCTTCACTGGTCATTTTTTAATGGTTTACCAAAAATATATGAATATTGAATCAAAATTGATCAGAAACCAGAGAATGGACCAACAGTAACATCAATATTAATAATGGCCCAAAATGATCACAAATTAAATAAAATTAGGAACTTATTGACATATTTCATGAATCTCATCAGCCCACATTATTACGTAATTTGAGGTGGATTATAAAAACTTTGCTCTTGGGTCTTGAGTCATTTTATTTCGGGGATTACACATTTAAAACGTGAAATGTGAACTACGTGAAGCAACATGATAAAAATAATCAGTTCCATTTAGTCAGTCGTCGGTTATTCAGGAGATCTTTCCATGATGTGATCATCTTGCTTCTGTTTCTGGTGAGAACACAAATAAGTGCTTTACTGAGTGACGGGAAACTTTTTGAATCCGATTTAAGGAGTTGATGATTTTGGAGCTTATTTTAAATCGAGGCGGATGTTTTTACCACACAGTTTTAGTTGAGTTGCTTTTGGAGAGCGTGGCAGAACGAAGCAGTTCTGTGGAGGCACATCTCTGAACTGGACTCTTCCTGTTTTTATTTTCCTGTCGGCTGTAACGAGGCCTGAACATTACACAACTCTGAACGTATTTCACAACCCGTGGCTCAGCCTCGAGGCGAGCGCCGTGACTCTTAGTGACGTTCTGAATTAAAAACTCAAAATCCTCAAAGGAAGCTCCTTCAGATCCTCCTGATTGTTCTTTGGAACCTCTCAACACCCGCTGAAGCCTCGGAGACCTTTATTTGTTGGGTCAGCCCGATAAAAGATGGCCGCCACAGCCACGTTAGCCAACTTCAAAATGGTTTTGACTCCGTTTTAAAATGCAGAGCTCAAGTTTGGTGTGGTAGTAGCTGAGAGACCTCCAACATGTCAGATAAAAACTAGACAATGTGTAATGACGGCATGAACGCTGGTTGATGAGATTTTTGATTAAAGCTGCTGAAGAAGCTGAAACCAGCTGAAAATGTTTCACTGCTAAACTGTTTATAATGGGGGTGGAATTTGAACATCTGACATTTGATGAAAGTAGGAAAATAAAAGCAGAAAGCAGAAGAAAAACAGCTGAAATGTGTAGAAAAAGACGAACAGAGAAATGTAGCAGAATAAACTGAAATATGCTGAATGGATTTTTTTAAACATGAAAATAAGAAACTGAAATTAGCAACAAAAAAGTAGCTGGAAAAAAAACTACAGAAAAAGCTGAAATTAGCAGAAAGAGGCTGAAATAGAATAAAAATTTTAAATAATTAGAATCACAATGTGGAAATTTGCACCAAAAAAAGGCTAAAATTTGGAGAAAATGCCTAAAAGGTGGCAGAAAAAGCAGAACTTATCAAAAGGAAGCGGAAAGAATTTTAAAAAATGCAACTAACAGGAAGAAGCTGGAAAAAAACAACAAAAAGGTTAAAATTAGAACAAAGAAGCTTGAGTAGAAAAATAGCTGAAAAAATCTGAAGGAAGCTGAAATTAGCAGAAAAAGTCTGAAGCAGAACAAAAGCTGAAATGAGCAGCAGCAGGCTGTAAACAGCTGAAAAAGTTTGAAGGACGTGAAGAGCTCCGTTCATTTTCAATGAGAAACAGCTAAATGTTTCAAAAAATAAAAACAGCACAAAAACCAAGTCACAGCCGAAATGTCCTGAATGAGCCGAACATTTTGATTTTTGATTAATTGAAATAAAAACTACAGAATGTGTCGAATAAACAACATAGAATGATTTAGAAACTTTCAAAAAATAACTACTAAGAACAACAATAATAATTAATGACAAAAATATCTGTTGGAGCCGTGAACCGGGCCGTTGGCTCCGTTCCTCCTCCACTTTCTTCTGTGAAAAGATGAAGTGAATCACTTCCCTAAAGTCTCTGATCACGACGCTCTTCCACAGTGATGAGCCCAGAGCCTCCTCTCTCCATGAGCAGACATGTCAGGAGTCAGGGTCCAGGCCCGGGCCCTTCAGAACCGGCATGTGGGTCAGGTGGTTCTCCTCAGCTCCATGTTTGGGTCCAGGTGTGCGAGATGCTGTTCACCTGCACTCACTTCTGTTAGTAAAACCTCTAAACTCATCTTTAACATCTGATTGAGATAAAATCTAACAAATTCACTCTCCGGCTTTTCAACGGCTTCAACTTTAATAAATAAAACTACTTTAATAAACCTTCAACATGTGAGTAAAGACTTGTTAAAGCAAACGTTCAGAGTCCACAGAGACTCCGTGGTGTGGTCTGGAATAAAGATGAAACTTTTATCAACTTGGACAAACTTTCATGAGACTAAAACACTGAACTCTCTGCAGATAAATTAAAAAACAGCTTTCATCACTTGTTGCGCTCGTACTTCTGCTTTTAAGAAAAGGAAGTTTTTTTATTCTGAAATATCCAACAAGCCCCTTTTATTTTCTGCCACATCAGAAGATCAGTTCTGTCTTAAAATAGAAGAACTGACCCACGCCGGCATCAACGCTAATCTAACATTAATCTAACATTAACGTCTAAAGACGCTGAACTCTGTCATGACAACATAAACAGGTTTTAAAGGGACAGATGAGAATAATGTAGTTGAAGCGACTCCTGGGGGTCGTCTCTCTCGGTGCGGTGACTCCTCTGAACGTTAACCTCAGTGTGAACACACACTTTAATACTCTGAATTAAATCGACCGCATCGATGGATCACAGCAACAGTTTGTGGACCGTACGGAGAATTCAAAACACCGACTCACCAACTGTCCCGAAGCACATCCAGAGAGGAAGGGCCCCCAGCAGAGGACCCCACGGCCCCATGGTGATGCAGGTGAAAGCGGGTCGGCGGGCGTTGATGGGTTTCTCTGGCGATGGCGTGCCTGCTGCAGAGCTCGCTGCTCTTCAGGGGAAGTTGTGGTCGGAGCGTGAAGTCCATTCGTCTCAGAACTCATCAGACCACTCCCCGCCCCAGCCCCCCCAACATTAAACCAGAGGAAGGACTTTACCACCACGGTTGTTTTTTTTTTTTTTTTAAACACGCCTCAGACTTCTCTCAGGAAACAGCAGTTTTTTTTAAAGAAAGAAAAGACGAGCGTCTTCATGTCACAGAAAAAACATTTATTAGGTTCACTCAGGCGTTATACAAGATCAGAATCAGATTCATGTGCTGAAACAGGAAGAGGGTCCACATCTTCATCAGCACCGTGACGCTAACGGTCAATTTCACCAAACACGAGGTCCTGAGTTCCTGTTTCAAAAAAAAAAAGTGTGAAGTAACTTCATGCTCACTTTAAACGTCTGCTCAAAGTGCAAACATTCTTACCAAGGATGGCCACCAAATCAGCCAACATGAGTCCTGCGGCCATTTTGTTCAAACTGGCCTGCAAACACACATCAGGATTCAGAGCAGAAGGTGGTGACCTTTGACCTCTGAGTGGGCAAATGAGCTCCTAATGAGCTGCATGTTCGTTCCTCATGAGAACACAGCTCGACGTCCAGCAACAAATGAAATTAAATAAAAACCTTCAAACTGCAGCTCGGAGAGGAACAGGAAGAATTTAACAACAACTGAAATACATCAGAAAACAACCCCCCACCCCCCATCACTGAGGGATCTGAACTGGGAGTGTTTGAGTGTTTTCTGGGCTGGAGTTAACAGGGAATGAAAGTAAACCTAAATGTTTTTAGGTGTAAGAGTTACTCTGTGGAGGCCAGAGGGACAACAGACTGTGGGATCCTGGTGAGTGGAGGGAGGATTTTATCCTCCACCAGGTGCAGTGGTGGAGCCAGGGGGTGGCCAATGGTGGCCTTGGCTACCATAGATTAATCCTTGTCCACCCCAGTCATTTGAGGAAACTAACTTTTTTTCTTCTTTTTTTCTGTCCTCCAGTGAAACCAGACGCGTCTCCCTGGTCCCCACCCGCTTCCCTGCTTGCAGTCTTTCGTCCTGTGAACCCTTAAAAAGCCTATTTTTTTTCTGCATACCTCCTAATTCGAAGGATCAGCTGGTCTCTCAACTAAATTGATCAACTTCTCCCAACAGGAGTCAGGGTAAGGAGGACCCTCTTACCTCGATGGAAACAAACTGGATTCATGATGACAACTGGTTATTTTGCCGTTTGGCTGGTGAATTCTGGATCGTCTATAAATTTGTGTGGATGTGTCGAAACTCGACAGCACTCAGACTGAATTTGTGGAGCTGCAGCAGGGAGCTGGAGCAGCTGTTAGGACTGTGAACTTCCTGGCAGCACCCATGAACGGTGGGAATAATCTTGGAGAAGCTGTGAGCTCAACTTTTGGCGTAAAGGATCAATTCGGCTGTTTTGGAGTTCCATCAGAGGATATGTACCAGCGAGACTTTAAAAAAGCAGAAACAACAATTCACGAGTTCTGCCTGACCCAAACTGTGGCCTTGATGCCGGACTTATCTCAACTCCTCCTGGAATGTTTTGAAAACAACAAAGATGCTTTGACTGTTTCCTCACCCCTCCCTTCCCCAAGGCTGTGGACATGTAACAGAACGTCAACTGAGCTGATGATGAATGTCACCTCTTATCTGGATAATGGCTGGGGGGGGCGGGCGGCGGCTCTGGACTATGCTACGACTTTCCCTTAAAAATTCAATGTTTTCACCGGTCTATATGTACATGTATAACGTCTGTTTATGTTGCTTTGCTGTGGTAGGTTTTTTTTGATGCCTCACATCGTACCTGTTTAGACTTCAATTGTTGGTATTTTTAGATTCTCTGTTATTTTTACATCTTGTGTGTTCCTTTGTACTGAAACTCTGGCACAACAATTTCCTGCAGGATTAAAAAAAGTTCTCTGATCTTATTTTTCGCTCTGTGACGGGGGACAATTTGCAGCTAATGATCGTTGACCACAAGGTTTATTATTTCACTGCGTTCATGAAGTACTCACCAGGTGAGTGAATCCAGGAGCTTTGATTTTGCAACGATAGGGTCTGCTGGAGCCGTCCGACACTAAATAAATACCAAACTCCCCCTGCAGGAAACACAGAGGACACAAACACAATCCACTAAGCATAACAGAACAACTGCAACAGGAAACCCCTGGTGACTGTTCTGTGAAGATGCTTTTATTCAACACTTTCTACGAGCTTCAAGCTTGAAATCATTTGTCTGTTGGTTGATCCAAACAGAAGCTGGGATGCATCGTTCACACCGATTCAGACAAAACAAATAAAACATGTTCAGAAGTGCTGAAACTTAAACGATGCAAGGTTTCCTGAACATTTCTGTGTGACTTTTAATAATAATTATAGTAAATAAGATTTTTTCGGCTGCTCCTTCTTCAGGGGTCACCACAGCGAACTCACATGAAAGATTTGACAATTTGTTTTACAAAGGATATCCTTCCTGACGCAACCTGGGCTCAAACCTCAGGATTACAGGACCACGGCACAAACCACCGAGCTATCACAGCCACCTTTATAATCTTTTTTTTTCATTCACCCTTTATTTATACAGGTCCTTCTCAAAAAATTTGCATATTGTGATAACAGTCATTATTTTCCATAATGTAATGATAAAAATGAAACTTTCATATATTTCAGATTCATTGCACACCAACTGAATTATTTCAGGTCTTTAATTGTTTTAATACTGATGATTATGGCATACAGCTCATGAAAACCCAAAATGCCTGTCCCAAAAAATTAGCATATCATGAAAAGGTTCTCTAAACAAGCTATTAACCTAACCGTCTGAATCAACAACGTAACTCTAAACACCTGCAAAAGATTCCTGAGGCTTTTAAAAACTCCCAGCCTTGTTCATTACTCAAAACCACAATCATGGGTAAGACTGCCGACCTGACTGCTGTCCAGAAGGCCATCATTGACACCCTCAAGCAAGAGGGTAAGACACAGAAAGAAATTGCTGAACGAATAGGCTGTTCCCAGAGTGCTGTATCAAGGCACCTCAGTGGGAAGTCTGTGGGAAGGGAAAAGTGTGGCAAAAAACGCTGCACAACGAGAAGAGGTGACCGGACCCTGAGGAGGATTGTGGAGAAGGGCCGATTCCAGACCTTGGGGGACCTGCGGAAGCAGTGGACTGAGTCTGGAGTAGAAACATCCAGAGCCACCGTGCACAGGCGTGTGCAGGAAATGGGCTACAGGTGCCGCATTCCCCAGGTCAAGCCACTCTTGAGCAAGAGACTGCGGCAGAAGCGCCTGACCTGGGCTACAGAGAAGCAGCACTGGACTGTTGCTCAGTGGTCCAAAGTACTTTTTTCAGATGAAAGCAAATTTTGCACGTCATTCGGAAATCAAGGTGCCAGAGTCTGGAGGAAGACTGGGGAGAAGGAAATGCCAAAATGCCAGAAGTCCAGTGTGAAGCACCCACAGTCAGTGATGGTCTGGGGTGTCATGTCATCTGCTGGTGTTGGTCCACTGTGTTTTATCAAGGGCAGGGTCAATGCAGCTAGCTATCAGGAGATTTTGGAGCACTTCATGCTTCCATCTGCTGAAAAGCTTTATGGAGATGAAGATTTCATTTTTCAGCACGACCTGGCACCTGCTCACAGTGCCAAAACCACTGGTAAATGGTTTACTGACCATGGTATTACTGTGCACAATTGGCCTGCCAACTCTCCTGACCTGAACCCCATAGAGAACCTGTGGGATATTGTGAAGAGAAAGTTGAGAGACGCAAGACCCAACACTCTGGATGAGCTTAAGGCCGCTATCGAAGCATCCTGGGCCTCCATAACACCTCAGCAGTGCCACAGGCTGATTGCCTCCATGCCACGCCGCATTGAAGCAGTCATTCATGCAAAAGGATTCCTGACCAAGTATTGAGTGCATAACTGAACATGATTATTTGAAAGTTGGCGTTTTTTGTATTAAAAACACTTGTCTTTCATTAGTGGGATGAAATATGCTAATTTTTTGGGACAGGCATTTTGAGTTTTCATGAGCTGTATGCCATAATCAACAGTATTAAAACAATTAAAGACCTGAAATATTTCAGTTGGTGTGCAATGAATCTGAAATAAATGAAAGTTTCATTTTTATCATTACATAATGGAAAATAATGACCTTTATCACAATGTGCTAATTTTTTGAGAAGGACCTGTACATGTAGTCTCATTGAGCCACGAGAACTCATTTTCAAGAGAGACCTGTTTAGGGAGCAGATGGTGGGGGTTAAGGGCCTTGCTCAGGGGCCCAGAGTGGGGCGAGGGTGGAGGCAGGTGTGGGTGTTCCACCTTTTCCACCCACATTTTGATGTTGACTGTACCGGGAGTTGAACCTGCGACTTTCCGATCACAGGCCCATCTTCTAACCTCTGCACCACCACTCCCACAATACAGTAATAATGATAATAATGATAATAATGATAATAATGTGCTCGGCTTTTCTCTGAAAGGTCTTTCATTTTGTTTCAGAGTTTTCAACAGTACATTATTTTTTAATTTAAACTATTGGAGAAAAAAAAAACAATGTTTTTTATTTACCTTTTAATGAAAGATCAAAATGACGTTGAACACGTTAAAACCTGGAACCTCCTTTATGACAATAAGAGTTCATTAGGGACAAAAATCCACCACCAGCTGCTTACACGCTTAATGTTTTTACTAATACACTTCCTTTACATTATTCCAACAATTCATTCAAGCTTTATTTATACAGGTTAATCCCACTGAGCCTCGGGTGAACAATAGTCAATCTGTTAGAGCTATCTCAGTTTGAAATAAAAACATGACATTTAAATGACTCTTTAAAGCATCAGCAACATGCATATCCCACAACAACTGGAAGAAAGATTCGTAATATTTAGGAAGTTAGCAGAACACACAGGATTTTAATAATTTTGTCACAACGCTGCCATACTTTCTTTTGAACTTGGGGCGGCTAAAATAAAGCAGGAACAGGTGGAGTCTAAAAATTTTTTTGTATAATTGGCTAATATATTTTTCTCACACTTTGTACCCCACAGTTTATATGCAGGAGCGGCTAATTTATGTTGTTTTTTTCCCATAAATTTCAAAAGTTATATTTTTATATTTTATTTTGAAAGACTTCCTGCTGTCTCTTGGTAACCTCCTGCTGTTAACTAACATTTTCTTTGACAGAGCTGTGCACTCGTGGCTCCCAGCACCCCGTCCCTCATGGTGGTAGGTGTTTGTGACACAGAGAGAATCCCTTCAGATCAGATGTACAAAGACTCTTGCTCACAGTTTCAAAGTCCCTACCATAACTCCACCCACTCTGTCATCATGTGACCAGAAGTCTAACCTGAATGACCAATGAGGTACTCTCGAGGATCATCTCCCAAGATAGACGTGAATTAATTTATTCAGATCGTTCTCATGTCGTTACTGTATTTTGCACTTCATGCACAGACCTGTTCATTTGTTCAGCGATAATGGAAAACACACAGAGAATTTATTATGACGCAGCTTTCATGTTAAAAGTGATCGATCAGCTGTCAAAGAAGGAAATTGATCTGTCGCCCGTAAGCTGCATCAACGTGTCGATGGTCAGGCATTGGATGCATATTTATATAAAATATTTAAATAAAAGTTTTTTTTTTTATCTTTCTGTGTACAGTAAATATGTGTTTAAATACCAGGATCTCATTTAAGCTTCGCACTGAATGGAGGAGACAACACGAGGGAGGGGCTGTCCCCCCCTTCCCCCCTCCTGCTCATATGAGCTCTTTGCTGAGGAGAAATCAGGTCAAATTTATTTTAAAAGTACATTTAAAAACAGCAGCTGTTATCAAAACTGTCTAACAATAAAATTAATTGTACTAATTTAATGAATATTTACCGTATTTCACCGGTACTATTTGACTTTCGGTCGCATGACCTCGATAAGACTTCTGGGTAATATTTTCCAGCAAATACATTTTAAATAATTTCAGTTACGTATGCGTTTGTCACTGTTCTGTCCAGTGATTATGCTTAGATAGTTATTGTTCATTTTGAAGGTATAATGGTTGTAACCATGAGTCAGACAGTGAAGCTTCATGAAGACTCTGATGATCTTGCAGTCTGAGTGGAGTTGAAGCAAGATATATTGTGTGAAACGCCACCTGCTGGCTGATTCTTGTACTACAACAAGAAAGCTGCACACTGTCGGAGCTGGCTGGGCACAGGTCCTGACCATGAACAGTGGATGACCACGGCTAAATAACCGGAGCGTCTCATTTATGTACAAAATTATGATTTATCTCATATTTAATCTGTGAGGCTTAGACACAGGTGTGTTCTGTAGCCTGAGAATTATGGTATATTTTTTTCATTCATTCAACCTTTTTTTCAACAGATAAGTCACATTGAGCCTCGAAGACTCATTTACAAGTGAGATCTGTTTGGACAGACAATAAATAGTGGTGAAAATGACACATAGGGGGGTTTGGCGACAAAAAAAATTCTTAACACGCTTTTAAGCTCTGTTTGAAGGTCAACAGTGTGATAGTGGGAAAAAAAAATCTCACACACGAGCACATAATGATGCAGACATGACGCAGGGGCGTGTTGAATAAATATATATTTTAAAAGACAGCATTTCCTTGTGGACTGGGTCTGAGAGATGGTGTGAGGGTTAACACCAATGGATCAAACAAAACTCAACTACAAACTCAGCACAGAGTTTCCGGGGGTGGGGGGGGGGGGGGGGGGGTACACGACAAAAAGCTCAAGTTCTTCATGTACGATGACACAGAACAGGAACTAGATGGGGTGATGTTAGATTAGGCTACAGATATAAATAAATATCAATATGATGTCCTAATAAAGACAAACGTACAAAAGTGCGTGTAAGAATATTTAAATCATCTAAAAATAATTTATGCGTAAGAATCGTGTTTGTCTTGTAACGCTCATCCTTAGTTTAAACCTCCATTTAGTGGTTTGCTAAAATGTGCTGACCAAGACAGAAAAGGTGCTTTTTACTAGAAAATTGTAAAGGAGTTGTTTACCAGTAACACTCACACCTCCCAAACATTACAGTGAGTAAGAGTCCTCTTCAGCTACCAAACATTACGCAGCTCGAGCTCTCACACGCTCACCGTTCATTATTTTCTAGGGCTGCAACAACGAATCGATAAAATCGATTAAAATCGATGATTAAAAGTGTTGGCAACAAATTTCATTATCGATTTGTTGTGTCGCGCGATTAAGTGTCTTTCACGGCGCTGCAGAGCCGTTTTGTTCACCTGCGGTTCATGGTCAATGCTGACTGACTGAATAAAGTTTGAAAAAAAACTAATCTGCAGCGCAAGTTGAACAGAGTGAGGGGGAGGAGGAAGCAGAGCAGAGTGTTTTCAAAGGAAAATAAGTAAAAGTTACAAATGACGAGGAGAAAACTGTTCGACCCAAGTCCTCCAAAGTGTGGGAGCACTTGACGCTTCACAAAGATAAAAACTTTTAATCCCGGTTACAATAATCCACACTTTTAGTCCAGATTACACTCTTCCCTCAAGGACACATTTTACAAAGTAGCTACATATTGTGCAGGAATATAGCATACATTTGTATATAATTTTGTGTACTTTTTTTTTTTTAAGCTATTTGACTAACTTTTTTTTTTATTCAATATTTTACTAACAGAATAGTAAAATAGCAACCTGTTTTTTGTGCGAATTGCTATGTCAAATGTTCAATTTTGGAATAAAGAGGTGGAAATAAAAACGTTGTTTGTTTTTTGCCAATTCATCGATTAATCAAAAAACAAACAACAAAAACCAACTAATCGGCTGATGAATCGATTATTGAAATAATCGTTAGTTGCAGCCCTATTATTTTCCTGTTTTATTTTTTAATAGTATTTCCTGTAGCACATCAGTAGAATTATTGAAATGCTACTGACTTAAAAAAATATGTGTGGACAAACATCCATCTACAGCATGGGACACTTATGGGCATAATCAGACAAAACAAACGTGTGGAGTTAAAAATGAATTAGTCTCACCTTGGGGGCCTCTATAGCGGTGTATGTGGCCCCTGGGGGCACCTGGTAGCCCTCTGTGTAAAGTTTGAAATGATGAATCAATGACTCCATGGACGTCTAAGAACAGCAAATAAAAACAAACACGACAACTCAACGGTAAGAAAACAAAGACGGGACATCTGTTGCTGTAAGCTCATCTATAAACCTGTTTATCTATAGAAATAAAGAAAACCTCTAACACTTGGAGTTCACATTCAGAGTCAGTGCAAAAAATGAGGAAGAGGAAATATTACAGGAGTATTTTTAGATTTCTGCAAAACAATCAAAATAATGATTCAGACAGAAATGTGTTTAATGCCATGAACTGAGGAGGAAAAGTAGAAAACCCAAAAGAAAATGTCCATCCAGCTGCAGAACAAACATCTGGAGTCAGCTCACCTTCATCTCAGACCGTTTGGGCGGGGCCACCTTGGCATCATCCACCTTAATCTCCCCCTCTGGCATCTTGTTGAGGGCCTGGAGGATGATTCTCAGGGACTGCCTCATCTCCTCCACTCGACACAGATACCTGAACAAACAAACAACAAACAAACAAACAAACAAACACTTATTAACAGCTCAGACTGTGTGAGCAGGGCTCAGTCTGGTTCCTGTCAACTGATGTCAACTTGAAAAGAACAAAAATTGGCTTTTTTAATTTGTTTTATGTTGGATTATCACACATGGAGCCATGAATGACTCTGGTCATAAAGTACCACAAAAATATTTGTGTTTTGTTTACTCCAGTGACTACAGAACATCTGGGGACAGTACTGAACACACACGTCCCCTTCAAAGACGAGCAGTACGCCGATGTCCCCCGTCACTGAAGGATTGGAAAAGTGAATGTTTGTAGTTTTCAAGATAAGTGTTTTTTGGACTGGAGGGAAACAACATTTTTGGTGCCAGATATTGCAGTGGGGAGGAGTTACACTGTGGTGTTTTGTCTTTTCTGAGGTAGCGCAGTGATGGAGGGAGAATTTTATCCACCATCAGGTACAGTGGTGGTGCCAGGAGGTGGTGAGTGGTGGTGTTGGCCACCATAGATTAATCTTCGGCCACCCCAATCATCTAAGAAACTAAACTTTACATACAAAAACTAGAAAGAATAGTTTCCTTAAATGATGGGTGGGCAAGTTTGCATAGATACATGGCGGTGGCCATCTTGGATTTTGATGTGGCAACATTTTCAAAAGGAACCTTTCTCACGTCTAGATGCAGCCACATGCCAAAATAAAAATCAGTACCTCACTTATTTTCAGGTTATCATGCTCACAACGTGCACACACAAACAGACAGAGGGTATTCATGATTCACTCTCTTCACTTCACGACGGGGACAATAAAAGGCTGGAGACAAAAGAAGAACACAGCCTTTCTTTTAAATGTTGGACTTGTTTCTTGAAGGTGTTACCTGTCGTAGCAGTCTCCTTTGGATCCAATTGGAACATCAAACTCCACCTCATCATATTTGTCATATGGCTGAGACTTCCTCAGGTCCCATTTGATTCCTGAGCCTCGCAGCATCACTCCACTGATGGAGGGAAGAGGAGACAGAGTCAGGGTTATTGTGTGTGTGTGTGTGTGTGTGTGTGTGTGTGTGAGTGTGTGTGTGTTTTAGGCTTGTAAAAGTAGCCATTTAGTAGACCTGTCATGATAAACAATAAATCAATTAATCGCATGATAAATTAAAATTATCAACCTCATTTTCATTTATCGGCTTTATCGTTTGTGTCTCTCTCTTTCTACTGAAGACACTGGATGACAAAAGGCTCAACTCCGGTGCTCTTCACTGACCCCACACTTTCTGTTTTCTCTTTAAAATCCATTTTAACCGTCCAAAATCATGTTTTTGGATCGTTAAAAGCAGCTAAGCTACGAGTTAAGCTAACAGGCCGACCTCGGGGGGGGGGAAACCTCCGTCTTGTTGAAGCTCCAAAATTCACGATTGAAACCTGTGCCTTCGTGTAAAAAGTTGTTTTTCTCTGCAACAAGAAGCTGAGAACTTGTTTACTGATTTTTTTTACTACCAACTTGTTTGTTTCCTTGCTGCTCTAGCTGTAACTGGAGGTTTACCTGAAGCCATAGTTGAGGGCATCTTCAGCGCTGACGACCCCCACATCTGTTGTACGCATCTTCCAAATGCGATTGTAGGTCAGCAGCTGTAGATATCAACCAATAGAATGATGCACGTCTCTTATCTACACATATTTATCACATTTTATTACTAAAAGCATTTAAGGACGCATGTACCTCTTCTACTTCATCAACTCGCGTTGAAAAATTCTTGGCCCATTCATAGATGTCATCCATGAGGCCGATGGGCATATCCTGGAACACAGTCGTCGTTATTGTTACTCATTTCTGTCTCACTACGATGATGGAGGGATGAACATATAGAACATCTTTGTCATCGTCCTTTCTGTTTCACTCACTCAGTTTCTATAACACAAACTCAGGACATTATTTAGATACAAAATATAATACAGATTTATTGCCTGACCACATCAGGAGACCTGCTTGTGAAGACAGAGGCTAAAGAGGACACAGAGTTTTTGTCCCACCTGATGGACACCTCCTGGTCTGATGTACGCTGCGTGCATTCTGGCTCCAGACACTCGCTCATAAAACTCGAACAGCTACAAGACAACCAAAAATAAACACTATCACTCTCTGACATCATGGTTTCAGGCCTCCAAAGTGACAGGAAGAAAATAAATTCCCATCATGGATCAAACAACCAGCAGCCTGTGGTCCGACGGTGCTGGTTTAAGAACTGAACTCTGACGAGTCAGCAAACTGTCACCTCTCATGACAGAGTTTACAGAAATGATCGTTGATGAGTTTTACAGGTTTTGGTAAATGACCCAACCTCAAACAATGCTGCAGGATAGCGGTCAGATAACATTTTGAGGATGACTCAACTACTACCACATCAAACTTTAGTTCAATATATACTGTAGTTCTAGCCAACATGGTGGCTCAGATGGTAGAGCTGCTGCCTCTCAGCAAAAAGGTTACCGGTTCAAATCTCGGTCCAGGGACCTTTCTGGGTGGAGTCTGCATGTTCTCTCTGTTCATGCATGGATTTTCTCCGGGTACTCCAGTTTCCTCCCACAGACCAAAAACATGCATGTTAGGCTGGCTGGTAACTCTAAACTGTCTCTAGGTGTGAGTGAGAGAGTGAATGGTTGTTGGTCTCGGTGATGGACTGGAGACTAAAAATATCACGATAACAAAATTAGGTGGACGATTGTCTCAAAAATTATTGCGATAAATGATATTGTTTGAAATTTGACAATAATTAGTAATTATTGTCAAATTTAAGAAGAAATGTTGTTTAATTTGTTTTGTGTGTAGTACCTTTTTTTGACCACCAGATGGCAGTATAAGACTGTTTGAACCGAAGGATGGATAGTGAGGGAGCGAGCAGCGTGTCTCTTTAAGAAAAATGAGAGGGAGGCCCCTTGACGTGACATGGGCTGTCTGTCCTTCCATTTTTTTCCGGTTCTCAAAATGGCAGATGCTCGGTGTGGTTTGAGCTCTTTAGCATAGCATTTTTCACACAAAGCTTTTAATAAAAAAATTAAAGAAAAAATTCTGTTAACAAGTTCTCAGCTTTTTTTGCAGAGAAAAACAACTTTTTACATGAAGGCACGGGTTTCAACCGTGAATTTTGGAGCTTCAACAAGACGGAGGTTTTGTCCGAGGGTGGCCTGTTAGCTTAGCTCGTAGCTTAGCTTCTCTGCTTAGCTGCTTTTAATGATCCAAAAACACAATTTTGGATCGTTAAAACAGATTTTAAAGAGAAAAGAGAAAGGGAGGGGTCAGTGAAGAGCACCGGAGTTGAGCCTTTTATCATCCAGTGTCTTCAGTAGAAAGAGAGAGACACGAATAAACGATAAAGCCAATAAATGAAAATGAGGTTGATAATTTTAATTTATCATGGTATTAACCGATTTATCGTTTATCTCAACAGGCCTAATGGAGACCTGTCCAGGGCCTCTCCCACAGACTGCTGGACATAGGCACCAGTGACCCCATGCAGGCAGACATATGGATCTAGTTCTAGCTGAACTGGCTTGACTTCAAATGTTATTCAGTAGTAGATATAAATCCAAGAAATAATTGCATTAAATTTAAATAAATCCATCTAGGGGTCTAGTGGTGAGATATTTTGCTAAAAAAGAGTAACATAGTTCTAGAATTGCACCGCTCAAGGTGGTTGCATGTTGGAGCAGCTCTGTTATGTTCATTCTGAGATTTTGCTTTTGGAAACTTTAATTCCTCTTTTTCTGGATGTAAATCACATTTTTTGGATGATTGTTTCCACTGGTATCAGATGCTGTGCACCTGGAAGGATTTTTACTGAAACTTTTTTAGTTTTGGACATTTGTTATGATGCAGAACCATGGCAACAAGGCTGTTTACTACAACCAACAGCTGATTAACATCTCAAAAGCTCAAATAATATCTCAACTACAGCCCCAAATCTCAAATGAGTTGAAAGGATGTTCTGTGGATGCATTCTCATCTACCTGCCAGCTGTGCTTAAGTGTCTGACCACTGAGATCCTGGAACTAGCAGGAAACACGGCTCATGACAGCTGAAGGACAGGATCGTCCCTCGGCACCTACAGTTGGCTGTCCGCAGCGATGAGGAGCTCGGCAGACCACTGGGAGGAGTGACCATCGCTCTGGGAGTTCTGCCCGGCATTCGGGTGGTCCTACAGACCGGGGGAACCAAGAGGCCAGCCGAGTCTGGGTGGACAGATCGGATGGCATCTGCAGCCAGTTTCTTAGGATCCACTGTGGGATGGACCTTTACAAGAGATCCTTCCTGTCTACAGCCATCAGCATCTATAACATCTCTTAATGAAATGAGGATAACGAGTTACAACAACAAATAATTTCCCTCTGGGATTAATAAAGTATTTTTGAATTGAATTGAATTAATTCACAGACTCAGACAAAAAACATTATTGCCCTTTTGTCTCGCGGTGAGCCGTAATGAAATAAGAAGTGGTCACTCGTTTAACAAAGGCTTTTTGAGCAATGATCTACATAATTAATAATGATTATTTTTCTAAAACATCTTTAAATCACTTCATTATTTAGATTTATTCTGATTTGTCCTCACTGTGTCCAACAGAATTGTCAACAGGTGTTAGATCTCATTTTGATGTCAGGTCATGATGCAGCTCTACAGCTCTCATGGGTCTGGTGTCCTTTGCTACAAAATGTTTAAAATATATTTTCCATCACCCAGTTACATGGAGCGGGCTGTCTCCTGCTGCTGGTCTGGTCTGCACCTTACACCTTAAAGTTCGGCAGAAGGACAGGTTACAAGCCACTTCTGCTGTTGGATTGTGTGAGAAGATGGTTCATTTTATGCCAGTGAGGAGATGAGGGTTAAAGGACGGAGGTCTGAGAGTCAAAAGTTCACTGTTGCAACAGGTTAGTGTTGAATCAAACAGAATCAAAGAGGATTTAAAAATAAAGATATGTGTAGACATCATGACAAACTTCAAAACATTGTCACATTAATGTTTGATCATGTTGTCCAGCACTACTTCATAGCACAGCAAGTCAGGAGCAAATCATGAAGAATATTGCTTTAGGGCAGCCTGTGAAGATAAATGAGTCTCAGAAGTCGTCACACGAGCATACAAAAAGATTTGTACGTACAAGCTGCGTTCAACGACCCCGTAAATCTGGCAACGCTCACATTTCCCAGCTTTCTATCAGCCTTGAACACAGCATTGCATTTGTGAAACTGGAGCAGTAAGAAAGTCTCAAAAGTCATTCACAGGCAGCTGATCTGTGCACAGCAGGTGATTTGTGCTCATTTGACAATTTGTATGAGCAGAATAATCCTACTTATTAGAACAATGTCCATTTGATAAACTCTTCATGGATTTGTAATTCGACACATCCAGGGTGTACCCCGCCCCTCGCACAGTGATTGCTGGACATGGGCACCAGCGACCCCCGTGACCCAAAATGGAACAAGCGGGTAAAGATAATGGATGGATGGATGGATTTGTAATTCTTGTGGCATGCTCACATGACTACATTTGAGACCAGTTTATCTCCATATCCTTCCAATCCAAAAAAAGTGAAGATGTGAATTGACCAAGAATTGGGAGAGAAGCCACACTGACCTTCTCCCTCTCCTCAAACAGCCAGAAAAATGGAGTCATGGCACCCACGTCGAGGGCATGGGTGCCGATGGCCATGATGTGGTTCATGATGCGGGTCAGCTCTCCAAACAGAACTGTAAACACACAAAAATAAAATATAATCAGATCTGAGGCCAGAACTCACACTTCGAGTCACAAAAAATATATATGTGTGTGTGGTTTGGACTGTTTGTGAAACATAAAAAGGTAAGGCATGATGTCAAATGTCCTTCAGAGATAATTTAACACTTACGATGGTGTTTTATGCTTTAAAACTAAATATAATAAATATAACTGTACAACAAATGGCTCCCTGCTCTCCAAACTTTTTTTAGATGAGCTGCTGCCATATAATTCAAAATTACTTTTTTTTTTTAAGTTCGACGTTTACATTTTTCTGTTGTAAATAAATTATAGTTTTATCAGGTTTGCAATCATTGCATTCTGATTTTATCTGTTACACAACACCCCGTCTGTTTCAGGATTAGGGGTGTATAAACTGAAGGTAAGATGGATGTAACTGCATTAAACTGTCCGTTTAATGTTCAGACTAATAACCAGGTTTAATTCTCCTTCAAATATGCCAAGGTACCGTAATTTCCAGATTATAAGCCACTACTTTTCTCACAAGCATTGAACACTGCGTCCAATGCTGCGGCTAATTTATGGGTTGTGTTTTTTTTAATGTTTAACAGGCTAATGAGATTCATGCCTCCAAAACATTTAGTCTCATCACACCCGGGCACTCACAGAGCTGCCCAGTACACGTCTCTTTTCGGGGGTGAGTCCTCGTGACTCAATGAGACTACTTGCATAAATAAAGGTTAAAAAATAAAACAAAATCAAACCAGTTAAGTTACCAAACAGGTCACAGTGGACCAATGAAACTTTGAGTTACCATAAATCAAACACTCTCACTAAATTCTTCAGATCAGTTATTTTGCGCTTCATGCACAGACCCCCATCTTGGAAAACACATGAAGAAATGTAAATGATCCAGTTTCAAGTTAAAGGCGATCGATCTGGCTGTCGAAGAAGGAAACAGAGCTGCTGCACGCAAGCTTGGCATTAATGAATCGATGGTGAGATGTTGGAGACGACAGCGTGACAAACTGGACCAACACAAAAGGACGACCAAAGAGGGTAAAAAAAAAAAAAAAGCTGATGGCCCAAACTTGCAAACATTCTTGAAGACTGGGTGAACACACAGAGAGCAGACGGCTGAGGTGTTTACATCACACAGATCTGACAGAACGACAAAACAATCACCACCAAAAACAAGACTGAAGATCTTTCTGTGTAAATCTCTCATGTTACAATGTGGACACCTGTGGTTTAGACAAGCACGGCCTAGAAATGTACAAAATTATTATTTTTTTTTTTAAGTGGGTGTGGTTTATATTTGGACATGCTAAATAGTCCAAAAATCATGGTACTTTGGTCTGGCTTTATATAACTAGACAGGCTAGACTGGAAAACTGTTGTTTGTTCTGAACTAAAGGTTTACTTTTCTTTAACATAAAGACTCGTTACTGGAGACATCTGGAACGCTCCTAAAGCCAGTGGCAGTCCATGAAGATGAACAGTGTTCACTAGCCTTTATCTGATTTCCTTATAGAGCCACGTCCTCATTGTCTAAACGTGATCTGATACCTTGCATAGGTGCAAAAGGAGGGTGCAGTTTGCTCCACATTTGTCAGAACTTTTATAAATTTAAAGAGTTTTAAATACAAACCGGATTCCAAAAAAGTTGGGACACTAAACAAACTGTGAATAAAAACTGAATGCAATGATGTGGAGATGGCAAATGTCAATATTTTATTCGTAATATAACAGATGACAGATCAAAAATTTAATCTGAGTAAATGAAACATTTTAAAGGAAAAATATGTTGATTCAAAATTTCATATTGTCAACAAATCCCAAAAAAGTTGGGACACGTAGCAATAAGTGGCTGGAAAAAGGAAATTGAGCATATAACGAACAGCTGGAAGACCAATTAACACTAATTAGGTCAATTGACAGCATGATTGGGTATAAAAAGAGCTTCTCAGAGTGTTAGTGTCTCTCAGAAGCCAAGATGGTAAGAGGATCACCAATTCCACCATTGTTGCGCAGAAAAATAGTGCAGCTAATACCAAAATGGTGTTACCCAGCGTAAAATAGCAAAGACTTTTAAGTTATCATCATTAACCGTGCATAACATCATCAAAAGATTCAGAGAATCTGGAACAATTGCTGTGCGTAAGGATCAAGGCCATAAAACTCTACTGGATGCTCGTGATCTCCGGGCCCTTAAACATCACTGCACCTTAAACAGGAATGCCACTGTCAAGGAAATAACAGAATGGGCTCAGGAATACTTTCAGAAAGCATCGTCAGTGAACACAATTCACCGTGCCATCCGCCGTTGCCAGCTGAAACTCTACAGTGCAAAGAGGAAGCCATTTCTAAGCAAGCTCCACAAGCTCAGACGTTTGCACTGGGCCAGGGGTCATTTAAAATGGAGTGTGGCAAAATGGAAGACTGTTCTGTGGTCAGATGTCACGATTTGAAGTTCTTTATGGAACACTGGGACGCCATGTCATCCAGACCAGAGAGGACAAGGATATCCCAAGTTGTTATCAACGCTCCATTCAGAAGCCTGCATAACTGATGGTATGGAGTTGCATGAGCGCTTGTGGCATGGGCAGCTTGCATGTCTGGAAAGGCACCATTAATGCAGAGAACTATGTTCAGGTTCTAGAACAACATATGCTCCCATCTAGACATCATCTCTTTCACCCTGCATTTTTCAACACGATAATGCCAGACCACATTCTGCAGCAATCACAACATCATGGCTACGTAGGAGAAGGATCTGATTACTGAAATTGCCAGCCTGCAGTCCACATCTTTCACCTATAGAGAACATTTGGCGGATCATAAAGAGGAAGGTGCTGTTGGATAAAATGTAAATGTTATAATTTAAAACTGTTTTTAGACCCCGCATCATTTAATTAAACTCCAGTCGTGTGAACTAAAGAATGGCCATTTGTCTTGTTCTAAAGTGTTCACTTGCAATCAGACCAAGACCTTGGGTTTTTAAACAACCATGATGTTATTCAGATCTGACCTCGCTACTCCGGCTATCCCGTTTTGTAAACAAGCTGTCTGTTTAGTCATCTTTTCTGGCTCCGCTGCGTCGGAGAAAATCTGTATCTGTTGATTTTGCCTGCTCACTCCTCTTGCCTCACAATAAAACACGAGCTCTCCCGTCGAACGGCGGACTTCACCTTGACGTTTGGTCAGGTCACGAACTCCCACCTCTGCAGAGGGCTCGTCAAAATTCTTATACTCTGTCTTGTGTGTGAATTCTTTAAAGGTGATACGAGGGAAAAAATCCCTAACAGGTGCAACAAAGAAGGCCCAAGGCGATTGAACAGTTAGAGGCTTGTATTACCATACCATACCAATTTATTTATAAAGCACTTTAAACAGTGACAAAGCAAACCAAAGTGCTGTACAGGGACAAAAAGAACAAGCACATAGCAACAGATTACATAACAGGACACCAAAAAGTAGAAACCAACAAAAACAATAATGGATAACAACAACAACCGCAACATGACTAACAGTGTGATGCACACAGACTCAGCACAGATCACACAGTGCAGAAAGCCAGGGAATAGAAATGTGTTTTTAAGCGAGATTTAAAAACTGTGAGGGAGGGTGCCTGTCTAACGAGCAGAGGTAACTCATTCCAAAGTCTTGGGCCTGTTACAGAGAAGGCCCTGTCACCTCTGCGCTTGAGACGGGTTCCTGGGACTGTTAGGAGCAACTGGTCTGCTGATCTGAGAGAACGTGGTGGGACATACAGCTGGAGCAGATCAGTAAGATAGGAGGGGGCAGAGCTGTTTAGTGATTTATAGACATACAAAAGTATTTTGAATTGGATTCGAAAGTGAACCGGAAGCTAGTGTAGGGAGGCCAAAACAGGTGTAATGTGCTCTCTTTTGCTTGTGCTGGTCAAAAACCGGGCTGCTGCGTTTTGGACCAGTTGGAGTCTAGCTATGGAGGTCTGACTGATACCAAAAAGGAGTGAGTTGCAATAGTTGAGCCTGGATGTAATGAAAGCATGAATTACTGTCTCCAGGTTATTTTTGGACAATATGGGCTTCAGTTTAGACAGTCACCTCAGCTGGAAAAAGCAGGATTTAACAATCATATTTACATGATTGTTGAGTTTCAGAGAAGGGTCAAGTATCACTCCTAGATTAGTGACTCTTCGTTTCACCAACGGTGACAGAACGGATAGGTCGATGCAGTGGTTGGTGATTGTGTCATTGGGAGGAAAGAGCATAACTTTAGATTTCTTCTCGTTGAAACTCAAGAAATTTAAAGCCATCCAATCTCTGATGTCAGCCAGGCAGTCCAGTAACGGTTGAATAGAGCAAGTACCATTGAGTCTGAGGGGGAAGTAGATTTGGCAGTCATCGGCGTAGAAATGAAAAGGTATGTTATGTTTCCTGAAAATAGCACCTAGTGGCAGCAGGTATAAAGAAAATAAAAGAGGACCAAGGATGGACCCTTGCGGTACCCCCCATTTAAGCGCTGCCGAGGCTGAACTAAAATCTTTGATGGAGACACAAAAGGACCTGTCAGCGAGGTAAAATCTAAACCATTCGAGGGCTGACCCAGTGATGCCCACCCACTGCTCTAACCTCGCAATGAGGATCTCGTGGTCAATTGTATCAAAGGCAGATGTGAGGTCCAGTAAGAGAAGGAGCACAGAATCACCAGCGTCTGTGAATAGGAGAATGTCGTTAAAAACCTTGAGTAGAGCAGTTTCAGTGCTGTGGAGAGGTTTAAAGCCAGACTGGAATAGCTCTAAGATGGCATTTTCCTCTAGAAAGCATTTCAGCTGGGACTCCACTATTTTTTCCAGCAGTTTAGCGACAAATGGGAGTCTGGAGACAGGCCGGAAGTTGGACATGACTGAGGGGTCAAGTCTAGGTTTTTTCAGGAGAGGTTGGACAGCAGCATGTTTAAAAGTTATTGGCACCACACCTGAGGCTAAGCTGCTGTTCACAATGCCAAGAACAGGAGGGCCCAGAACAGGAAGAAGCTCCTTAAGGAGTCGAGGGGGGACAACGTCAAAAGGGGAGCCAGATGGCTTCATGCCGCACATGACCTGCTCCAGGGAAGAGAGAGATGGGCTCGACGTGGTCAAGAACAGCAACACAATGAGATGGGATGGACGGATCATGAGCAGGTGGAGAAATGAGTGCCCAGGTGTTTGCAACTTTTTCAGAAAAGAAATGGAGGAAGTTTTCACACAGCTCAGTTGAGACTTCTAGAGGTGAAGGTTCACTGAGGTGTAGAACTGAGTTCAGGGTGGAAAAAAGGACTCGGGGGTTGTGGGAGTTTGAGGCAATTATTGCAGAAAAGAACTTCGATTTGGCGGCTTTAACTGCCTTTGATAATGACGCCAACTCTCCTTTAGGATTTGAAAAGAAACCTGCAGCCTGTCTTTCCTCCACCTGCGTTCTGCTCTCCTACACTGCTGTCTAACGGCTTGAGTGACGTCATTAAGCCATGGTTCTGATAAAAGTTTTGTTTTCCTGGTTTTAACGGGAGCAACACGGTCCAGAATATTTAAGCAAACAGAGTTAAGCTGAGAGGTTATCTCCTCGGTGGAGAGAGACATTGAGAGCTGATCGATCCTCTCAGAGCTAAAAGCTTCAGTAAAACGTGCAGCAGTGAAACGGTTAATGGCGCGTGAAGTACGTGCAGAATCACATGACTTAGCAGTAGGACAAGGCGGGATGATATCAAACAAGACAGGCATGTGGTCTGAGAGAACGTTGTCACCGATCACCAAGTTACAAACAGAGACATCACATGTTAAAATGAGATCCAGAGTGTGACCGTGTTGTTGGGAGGGAGAATTTACGTTGAGTTAAATTAAATGAGTCCAACAAATCAAGGAAGTCCTTCACTAACGGCTTCTCCTGACAACAGACATGAATATTAAAGTAACCAACGATAATAAAGTGATCATATCTTGGTGTGATGTAAGCCAGAAAATCAGATAATTCACTTATGAAGTCCTTAGAACGAGGGGGGCGATAAACAATCGCACACAGAACGGGAGGGGAATGTCCGAGTTCAAAAACACTCAGCTCAAAACTGGAGCAGGGCATGAGGGTGGACAACTGTTTACAGGAAAAGTTTGATTTAAATAAAGTTAATATTCCACCACCCCGCGGACCTGATGGCCGCGGGGCATTAAAACACAGAGTCAGGAGGTAAAAGTTCCACCAAGGCGCTTGAATTACCCAAAGGCAACCAGGATTCAGTGAGAAAAAGAAAATCTAGTCCCTCGTCTTTAAAAAAGTCATTTAGAATAAAAGTCTTGTTGGCAACAGACCTTGTGTTGATGAGGCACGTCCTGATCTAGTCAGACACAGAACCAGCCATGGTGGGGGTGGTGCGTGCCAACGGTTGCAGATTTTCAAAAACAGCGCCTCCAGGACGGTCCAAGCGCCAAGCCGGTAGACAACACCCATATTTTCCCTGGTCCGGGCACGTAGGAAGCTGGCTGTGGAAACGTTGACCACGCAGAGCTTTGAGTTTTACCAGCCGGCCGGCACGTTTACCCTGGCGTCTGGATCGATATCTCCGAGAAGGCAGGCTTGGGGCCCAGCGTAAACAAGCAGGCACGTCTGCCAGAAGGGGTGGAAGGGGGGGGGGGGTCCCGAGTCACGATCAAAATGGTCCGAATCAGCGACAGCAGATACAGACAATCGAAGATCGAGGAGCTGTTGTCGGTCATACACAAGCAGCGAGTTGATATCCCAGACAAAAAACGAAAAAAACAGAAATAATCAAGTAGTATTAGACATGAATGGGAGAGCATTCCTATTTCTAAACTTGAGAAACTGGTCTCCTCTGTACCCAGACGTCTGTTGAGTGTTGTAAGAAGAAGGGGGGATGCCACACAGTGGTAAAAATGGACCTGTCCCAACTTTTTTGGGATTTGTTGACGCCATAAAATTTGGAAACAAAAGATTTTTCCCTTAAAATGATACATTCTCAGTTTAAACTTTTGATCTGTGATTTGTGTTCTATTCTGAATAAAATATTAGATGTTGGCACCTCCACATCATTGCATTCAGTTTTTATTCACAATTTGTTTAGTGTCCCAACTTTTTGGAATCTGGTTTGTATTTTTTTTTTCCATTAAACACTTTACATGAGGAATAAATGGCAGATTGTTGCCAAAAATGAGGCGCCCCCCGTTGCATTTTTCATATTTAGTGACCCTACAAACCATTCAAGAAATGTTACATAAACATACCTGCCAACCGTCCTGATATGAGGACAGTCCCAGATTTAAAACCATTTTCAAACTATTGTAAAGTTAAGGTAATGCAAAGCAAACTTTAAAATACAAAACAATCATGTGTTATCAGCAACATGCTTGGAATAATAGATAAACATTTTGATGTTGAAGTTTTGGTGTGTTTATTCACTGACTCAGCCATCAACCATCATTTATTAGGTTGAAAATATTTGCTTTGTAAAATCAGTATTGAGGGATTGTTTGTGTGGGTGCTTGTGTTACAGTTAAAGTGAAAAATCTGGATTGGTAGACAGATACGGAGTTCATAGGGAAGTTGTATTTGATATTTTATGTGTACTTTGTTACTGCATAAGGTCATATGGTGCAAAGGATACTTTGTGATAAAAGTATGATGCAGTCGAGACAAACTCATGGACCTCACGGTGTCAAAATAAAACAAAAATAAGGTTGTTTTCACACTAGATAGTCCGGTAGACTCGGTTCGGTTCGGGACCAATATTCATGAGCTTTTGTTTACATTTGAGCTGGTGCGTTTGCATTCACACTGCACTGTGCAGTCGAGCCAACCTGTTGAGCCAACCTATTCCCCCGCTCGCCTGTGGGGGCGCTGCACCAAGAACTACTGAAAGAAACGACACAAAAACCTCTGAAGACACGTCTTCTTCTTCTTCTGTAAATAAAAATAAAAACGAAGTGGCATCAAGTTTTAGCAGTTTTAGGAGTTATATTTTGTCATTTTTCAAAAATGGACTTAGCATGAGCAGAAGATGAGACAGAAGACCATGGAGAATATTGTTTTCCACACAAGGCAGCTGACGGCTCCATTTAAGGTCAGAGAAATGAGTGTTTGTTTACCCTGCGGAGCGGGGTCTGGTCTGTTTACATTCATACTGCACTCGAACCGCGCTGGAGTTCGCTTCTACCGGACCGAGACCTAGGTTTTAGCCCGGGCCAGAGTTCGCCTTTTTGTTCCATGACAGAGTTCGATGGCGCGTTCACACCTCCCTAAACGAGCCGGACTTTCTAGGAAAAAGAGCTAGAGTTCGATTAAAGTGGACTAAACAGGGCTGGTGTGAATGCACCCTAAGAGTTATGCAAGTTTAGAGTTTGATCTCAGATACATTTCAGCTTAAAGGCCAGTCAGTGTTCATGTTTCACCTTTCAATAAATATACAAGATAGTTTTTAATGTTTAATCCTGGGATTTAGTAAAATGCAATACGAATGGCTAGAAAATGTTTTTTAATTGGGGGGGGGGGTGCATCTGAACCCCCAAAGACTGCTTCACTGGAACATACGGGTGTTCCTCACTGGCATCAGCAGATGTTGGCAGGTAAACATAAAGCTTGTGTGCTGCTGTAAACAAACTGTGTGAACATTAGAAATAATTGTTTGTAAGCACCTCTGATCCACTGGGCACGAGGCGGAGCCTGGATATTGAGCAGCTTCTCCACAGCCAGAGAGTAGGCCTCCTCATTGCACATCATGGAGACATAGTCCAGACGGTCGAAGTAGGGCAGAGCCTGAAGTGCAGAGGAACAAGAGCAGCTTAAAGGAGTTAAAGAACACAAACAAATGAAGCACGATTAAAATTAACTTTTCATTAACCATCAACTCTTTTTGTTAACATTTCAACAAAAGAGTGAAGTGTTTTCTTTCTCCTCCACATCCAGGACGGGAAACCATCTGATTTAAAGGAGAACCTGAATATACAAACAGTCTGAAGCAACACCTACTGATCAAGAAGGGGACTGCAGACGGTGCAGTGCGTTTCAAAATATAACTAGCTGTTACGCTGATGTCCCCCGTCACTGAGGGATTTGAAAAATAAATGTTTGTTTGTAATTTGTGAGTTGAGTGTTTTATGGTCTTGCCTTTTTGTTCCGTGACAGAGTTCGATGGCGCATTCACACTTCCCCAAACGGACCGGACTTCCTAGGACTAGAGTTTGGAACAACAGGGCTGGTGTGAATGCACCCTTAATACACAGCCTATTAATAGTTCCTTTATTGTCAGAAAACTCTTTAAACTATAACATCTGTCAACACACAGTGATGCTTTTTGTCACACTCAGTAACAGTAAAGTACAGCAGCTGTCAGACTGAGAGGTGAGTGAGAACTCTGTTCACATTAGAGCCCAAATCAAGTTTTTCATGGTGATGGCTGCAGGGCGAGACACTAAATGGAAGGATGAGAAAAAGTAGAGCTTGTACTGTGAAGGACATGTGATCTCTGAAGGTGATGAAAATAAAACACCTGGTACTCAGCCCCTCCAGAAGAAGGCAGGAACATTTAGCACCAGTGTTATATTAAAAAAACAACTTATAAACAATGTTAACAGACTGGACGAAGGCGCCACCCAGTGGTCTGGTGTCTTACACTGAATCCCCATTGGTATTTTCTCATTTATTAAACTGCTTTATTTTGATATCGTTGTTCATGAGTGGAGGTGAAAATAAACAAATTCAGTTGTTATTGTATAGCGTGAGCCATCATCCTTCAAGAAGAGTTAACTCCTCCTGCTGCCCTTGGGTTAAACTGACAGGCACTATGCACACGTGTTTCAGTTTAAATTGAGGACTCGTTGTTTGACCCAAGAGCAGCAGCAGGTTTTAAATGTTGTTGTTTTTTAAAGCAAACTGGGAGTGAGTTGGGGGAAGATGATGGTACCACCAATGTTTTTCCACTTCGAGCACCAACGTTGAGCAGAAATACTGACATCACAGGAAGTAATTCAAAAATGTACCACCTGATCTAAATGCTATAATTACAAACAAAATGCATCTAACACAACTACTGCTTAAATAATACGACATGTTGTAATATTTATTATACTCTAACATGTTGTCTGTCTGTTTATCTTTTCAGTAGGGAGAACACAAACAGATGACTGTTTTTCAAGAACAGGAACAGTTGAGGGGAATCGTCTCCTCTTTAGCTGCAATGAGTGACAGCTCGCCTGGGTGTGTGTGTGTGTGTGTGGAGACACTACTTAGTGCTCCATGCAACAGTGAAAACTCCGGTCTCTGACATCCTATTCAAAAAAGCCTAAACTGCAGAAAAGATTTGATGGAAACACTGAAAGGTTTTGAGGCTTGAAAGCAAAAACCAGTCCAAGCATTTTACTCCCTGTGCTCTCCAAGGTCTTGAAAGGACTGCACCACAAAGCATCGTCAAACAAACGTCACAATAAATTCCTGCTCAGCTTGGGTAAAACAGATGAACAGCAACGCCACATGTGCATCCATAAAACTCCATCACCGTGTAAAAGACTGAAACAAAACCTGTTCCCAAATGTGGTGCTTCAGTGTCAGTACCTGCAGGTAGGTTTTGTACTCCACCAGCTTTTCTGTGCCTCGATGGAGCAGGCCAATGTGTGGGTCACATCTAATCACAGTCTCTCCGCTGAGCTCGAGCACCAGACGTAGCACACCGTGAGCAGCAGGATGCTGGGGACCGAAGTTCACCTTTACGTTGGAAACATCCCAAACTCCCCGGGGATCTTTGTCTGAGAACACAACAGTAAAGGGATGATGTGTTAATATTTATAAAAATGTCCTGAAGCTGCTCAATAATCCAGGTAGATTAATGTAACAAGGTTGAGTCAGGTCCTCTGGACGGATTCTTCTTGTTGAAACTTTCCTTATTTTATACAAAAGACTCTTCAGTCTGAGGAGCTGCAAAAAAAAACTGTCTTGTACAGGTCCTTCTCAAAATCAATCAACCTTTATTTATACAGGTAATTCCCATTGAGCCTCGAGGACTCATTTACAAGAGAGACCTGATTTCAACAAAGAAAGATGACAACAATGGACAACAGCAACAACAATAAACAGTTATAAAAAAAGCATACTACAGTTTTTTTTTTTTTTAACAAATAGGATGGCTAAAAGGAAAAGGTAGTAACAAAACAAAAAACAGCTAGATTCCAAGACAAATGTAGAAAACTAACAACAGGAACATGTCAGCATTGGACCCTGCCAGGTGTCCAACAGATTCTTAAAGCCACTTAGAGAGGTCAAGGTCGAGAGCTTCAAATCTTTTTGTAAGATATTCCAGGAAACTGGAGCGGAGTAGGAGAAGGCCCTTTTGCCTAGTTCAGTCCGCACTGAGGGAACACTGCAGGTAATAATGTCCTGAGAGCGCACTCCGTAGCTGCACTCACGCAGAGACATGTAGGAGGAGATGTATGAAGGCAGCAGACCAAGAAGTGATTTAAAGATGAAAATGTACCAGTGGGAGAGTCTGCATGAAGTTAATGATGTCCAGTTAACCAGTGAATACAGGATGCAGTGGTGGGTACGATAATCACAGCCAGTTATGAATCTTAGTGCACCATGATAGACAGCATCCAACATCTGCAGGGTTCTTGTAGGAGCATTCATGTAAATAATATCACCATAATCAATGGAGGGAAGGAAAGTCACAGATACAAGGCGTTTTCTAGCATTCAGGGTTAGACAGGATTTGTTTCTGAAAAAGAAACCCAGTTTAACTTTCAATTTCTTTATCAAGTTTTCCACATGGAGCTTAAAAGAAAGATGTGAGTCGACCAAGATACCCAAATATTTATAGGAATCAACAAACTCAATGGGGACACCATTTGAGGATAGAATCGGAGGAAGAACTGCTGGGACCAACTTCCTATTTGAAAAAAGCATCCCTTTGGTTTTGTCGGCATTTAGGACAAGTTTGAGGCGAAACAAATCAGTCTGGATGATGTTGAATGCAGATTTCAAAAGCTGGAAAGCCTTAGCAACTGTTTTAGCTCGACAATAAACAACTGTGTCGTCAGCATAGAAATGTATGGATGCATTAGGGATATTTTTACCTACATTATGTATATAGATTGTAAAGAGGGTGGGTCCTAAGACTGAGCCTTGTGGTACACCATTGTTGACTGTTAAAGAACTGGAGGATGTACCATTATGTTGAACACATTGCCTCCGGTCTGAAAGATAGTTAGAGAACTAACCAATGGTGTGATCTGAGAAACCGATTTCTGAGAGCTTATGGCACAAGATGTTATGATCCACAGTGTCAAAAGCTTTAGACAGGTCTAAGAAAAGTGCAGCACAATAATCCTTAGCATCCAGTGCTTCAACAACGTCATTAAGAACCTTCAGTGAAGCAGTGGTTGTGCTGTGTTGTTTCCTGAAACCAGATTGATGTGGAGGTAAGATGTTAAATGAGTCCAGATAATTTTTGATTTGAGAGTTTATCAGTTTTTCTAGAACCTTGGCTAAAATGCAGAGTTTAGAGATTGGCCGATAGTTGTTCAGTGAGGTGGGGTCTCCTCCCTTCAGCAAAGGAAGAACAAAGGCTGTTTTCCAAGTGTCTGGGATGGAGTTTTGTCTTATGGAGAGATTGAAGATGTGGGTCACAGGGACTGTGATGATGAGCAGCCAGCCTTAAGAAATAAGGTGGAAGTTCATCTGGACCTGCAGATTTTTTAGGATCAAGATCTTTTAACAGTTTATTGACCTCACTGACTGAGAATGGAGAAAAAGAGAAGCTGTGATTAACTGAGGATTGACTTGTAGGAGGGATTTGATTTGTAGAAGTTAGGTTATTAAGTGAAGTGGCTGATCTTCCATTAGTAACTGTGTCAAATAAAGAACTAGAAGCAACAAAATGTTTGTTGAAACAGTTCAGGATCTCGTGCTTATTTGACACAGGAACAGAGTTAATGAGAAGTTGTGATGGGAGGTCAGATGATTGGGGGGTGCCTGAGAGAGATTTAATTGTTTTCCAGAATCTGTTAGGGTCATTTAGATTTTTGGAGGTCTGAGATAAGAAATAGTTGCGTTTTGTTGCTTTAACAGCAGTTGTGCATTTATTCCTCATCTGTCGAAAACTCAACCAATCAGTGTCTGAGTCAGATTTTCTTGCTGCGGCCCAAAGATGATCTCTCCTGTGCAGGAGGTCAGCTAGCTCTGTAGTAAACCAGTGGCTGTCTCGTCCTTTTATTCTGAACTGACGAAAAGGAGCATGTATGTTCAGGAAATAAATAAAATTATTATGGAAATAGTTCCAAGCGGAGTTCACGTCATCAGTTAACAGAATACGATGCCAGTCAAAGTGAGACAGATCCCAGAGGAATGACTGTTCACAGAAATGTTTCAGATCCCTTTTTTGAATTAATCTGGGCTTAGAAGGTGGAAGTTTAATATTTCTTAAAGCCGCTGTCACACGATCACTCAAAAGATCAGCGAATACACCTGTACCAGGGAATTTGTGAGGCATATTAGTTAGAAACAGGTCTAAGATGGAGGAATTGTCAGGGTGGCTTTTATTTAATCTAGTGGGGGAGTCGATCAGTTGGGTTAAATTAAAAGACAAGCAACATTCCTTGAATTTGTCACAGAGGGGGATCGACTTACACCAATGTTGAGATCTCCAGCCAAAAAGACCTCTGTGAATTTTAAATTACCAAGGAATTCCATCATGGCATTTAATGCCTCAGGTGAAGCTGAGGGTGGTCGATAACGACCTACTACAGTTAAAACCTGGCCTCCATTCAAGGTGATGTTTACAGATAAGGCTTCAAACTGATTTGGAATTGTTTAGGAAGACACAAGACTTGAAACCAGAGAATCTCTAATGTAAATAATGACTCCACCCCCCCTTTTTTGACGATCACAGCGGTAGATGTTAAATCCATTGATTGCCACGTCATTATTCAGTACAGATTTGTTGAGTCAGGATTCAGAAATAAAGATAACATCAGCCCCAGAAGAACTGATCAGGATTTTCACAGCATCCAGTTTTTTCAGAAGGCTACGAGCATTTACATGCAGAAAATGGAGCCCAGAGGCGTTTTTAAAGTCATTTGGTGTGCTGTAATTAGTGGGGGGTCCAGGGTTGGGCTGAATCCCTTAGAGCAGTAACAACATTATTATCAGACATTTTCTTGAGTTTTTTGTGACTGATGTGTAATTACAGGAGTTAACAGTATGACAATTATCCCCCATAATCGAACCATGAGAAACATTAATGAAGACGTGATCATTCAGAACCCAAAAACAGTGAAAGTTGCAGTGATGGACAGATTCAGGTGTATTAACAAGATTCAGTGACTCCAGATAATCTGAGAACTGAAAATAGTGACAGTAATATGAATGATGCAGAAAAGTTTCAGACCATAAAACGTCACAGTTCAAATGGGCAAACAAACCCGACGAGGTGGGCCAACTGCAGTTTGAGTCGGGCTGAGGGGGGCTCCGGCCCCCCTGTGAAGATGGATGGATGGATGCTCCCATGAGAAACAGAAGCTGGGTCCAGAATCAACAGGCCGAAACAGAAACAGAAAATTTGCAGCAAATAGCAGAGCGAGCTGCCAGAAAATCCTCCTGAAGTGAAAGACATGATCCTAGCTCGTTTCAGGTCAACAGGGGCCAACAGCGTGATCCGGAATAAAATTAATTATTATCCAGGTGAGTTTGGATGGAGGCCTGCAGCAGCTCCGATACAAACTCCGAACTTCACTCGAACACCACGCAGCCCTGCTCCTTCACGCTGCTCCTCCACGCTGCTCCTCCGCTTCTCAGCACCCGACAGCACGGGGCACCCCCGGTGAAAAGCGAGACTGACCGGAGAGGCTGAGGTCAGCAACTGGTCCGGTCCGGTTCTGCTCCAGTTCGGCTCCGGCGCTCCAAGCACGAGAGACGAAGAGGCTGAAGATATCCCTGGCCCGGTTCTGCTCCGGTCCAGCGGCCCAGTCCGGCGGCGCGGTTATGCTCCGGTCCAGCGGCACTTCAAAGCACCGGAGCGTCTCCTCCAGGTGAACACAACGACTCCACGGAGGTGGATCTTCTTTCAGTAAAAGTAACGGGCTGCTCACTGAAGCTGAGACCGGCTCTGTAGAAGACGAATTCCCCCACAGCCACCCCGGTTCGGTTCTGGTCCAATTCGAGGGACACAGGTACACTTCCCCCACACCTATGGAGACACCACGAGGGCCAGTCCAGCTGAAAACCAGTGAAATACCACCCAGCGATATTTGTCGGAACCAGGTAGAACCACAAAGGTCCAGATAAGAGTTTGTTGAGGTCCAGAGAGAGAGAGAAAAAACACCGGACCTTCGTGCGTCGACTCCCCAGCTCGAGGGGTCACCTGGCCGGCAGGGTGCGCTCAGAGTGACCGATGGGGGGGGGAGCGGCCGATCGATCCTGGGCCAAAATATTTTTTTGGACGATCCTGTCCGGCTCTCTGAGTCACTGAACACCGAATTCGGTTGGAAGGAGGACCAGCTTTAGTCCGGTTCGAAAAACGGGTCAGTTTGATGATAAAAGACTGCAGAGAAGCCAGAAGGAGCTGCTGTCCATCAGCTCGCCGGAAGTGAAGTGAAAAAAATTAGATTAATTATTAAAAAAATTAGCACATTGTGATAAAGGTCATTATTTTCCATAATGT